CGGGGGAAAAGGTATTGGGGCCTGGCCACCCCCCCGGGGGGGGGGGTGATTTCTCGCTTTCTGTCTCTCTGTCTGTCTCTGTCTCTGTCTGGCGAGCACACACGCCCTAAAGCAAAAACCTCTCAAAAAAAAAAAAAGTTCTACCCTTAGGGCTCATCCATAGTGCTCACACTTGTGGCTGTGTTTTAAACCAGGTAAGACAATAAAGTTAATAAAACCACAAGTTACAAAAATAATAAAAGATAAAAAGTTTACAGAATGAACAGATAAAGTTTAAATCAGTAACTGAAGGAAAATTCTGGAAATGTTTAGTTATTACAAAGGAATTTTAAAAGTTAAATGTATAATTTCTAACCAACTATACCAATTAGTAAATAAGAGACAAAACATTTTTAAAACATTTGTGTCTGGAGGCTCCAGGGGCTTCCCTAAGGAAAACAGGCACAGGCTCTGTGGTTGGACAGTTCCCAAGCCTGTGCCTGTACCCATGCTCACCTGTCAGGTGTGAGTCACCTGCATGTAGTGTGCACAGAAACTGACATGCATGAACTGCCTTCTTTACCTTTGCAGGTGTTTGATGTACAGAGGAAAGTCACCTATAAGAATCTGAGCACCTGGTATACAGAGCTTCGGGAGTTCAGGCCAGAGATCCCATGCATCGTCGTGGCCAATAAAATTGATGGTGGGGCCATTTCTGCATCTGAGTGTCAGCAGTTAATGGGGGACCCACCACCACACATTTTCTCCTTTCCTGGGGCAGGCAACCTTCATGGATCCATTCTGCTTCCTAAGATACACTCATTGGTTGGTTGTATCTCTCTTCCTGGTAAAGATGCCAACCTGCCCAGTTCCCTGTTCACTATCTTCTGAGAACATGTCCACTAATCATCCCACTTTCTGGAATGGGGACCTCCAGTGACCCGCTCTCCAAACCTCTCTCCCTTTCCCTGGATGAGCAAGCTAATGTCCTACCTTCTCTCTGCAGCGGACATAAAGGTGACCCAGAAAAGCTTCAGTTTCGCTAGGAAGTTTTCCCTACCCCTGTACTTTGTGTCAGCTGCCGATGGTACCAATGTTGTGAAGGTATGGTGGCCGCAGACAGTCTGGGGAGGCCATGAGGACGGGCTGGCAACAGAGGAGAGGGAGGAAACGGGATATGTGCAGCAGGGAGGGGAGGAGATGATAGACCCAGACTGATGAGACTAAAGTCAGTGACCGTGTGTGGGGGCAGGTGAGTTGAGGGGTGAACTTGCAGTTTTAGGAGTGGAATATCGTGTGAGTTCTTGGTGGGTTCTGTAGGTTGGACTTCCTACCTTCTCCACTGTACCCCCAGCTCTTCAATGATGCCATCCGACTAGCTGTGTCCTACAAACAGAACTCCCAGGACTTCATGGATGAGATTTTGCAGGAGCTCGAGGTAGGTCAGGCCCACCGGTTGGGTGGAGTAGAAAAACCGGGATTTCACTCAAGAGGCATGGTCTAGAAGTCAGCCTCGTGGCTCTTGGCCAGTGCAGGGCCAGGCCTCACTGCAGCTTTGTCCACAGAACTTCACGTTGGAGCAGAAAGAGGATGTGGCAGACCAAGAGGAGAGTGGCCATGCCGAGACCCTGTCCCCTTCCTGATTCTGGAGGGTGGGTGTTTTCTTCTTTCCAAAACTGACCTCAGGGACTCTTCCTGTATTTCTCCCAGGCAGGGAACAATGGCTGTCCCCTGATTGCCCCCCTTCCCACCCTGTAGGTTTGTGAGGCCTCGCTTTTTTCCACCTCTGTCTCCCAGCCAACTTTTTTAAAAATTGGTTTTTGGCAGACAGCTATTTGTGTCAGGTTTCTGAGCATCTGCTCTGTACGTGCTCTTGTAGGTGAGGCCAGGGTCACAGAAATGAGCTGGCCACTAGAGTTTAGTAAAGCAAGTGGCAGATCTGTCTAGTTAGGAATGCACAGAAGTGGTTGTTAGTCAGGTCAGTACAGCACCCCAAGGTATATACAACATTAGCTTCAGGAGGAGCTTCCTTTACACCCCTCCCCCCCTCAGCATAAGAGACTTTCCCTTCCTTTTTTTTTTTTTTTTGAGGACAAATTTAGACATCGTGCCTGCCGTGCGTAGCCAGGGGTTGAACAGCTGCAGCCTTTTCCTCTGCCCAGTTACTGCAGTTTGCTCATGTGTTTGTATGAACATCTCGTTTGTGTTTTATATTGTTCCCACTAATTTATTTTGCTTCCTTTTTCACAGTAAAGGTTGAATTGCATAAACACTGAGTGTATGTGTGCACTTTGTGAATCTGAAGCATACTGAGCAAAAAGACACGAAAGAACATGCAGATCACCAGCCATTGAGAGGGTATGGTTTTGACCTGTTGGGAAACCCACGTTAACCCCATTCACTGCAACGGAGGCCATTTCAATGCCAGGTAGTGTCTTAGGAAGAATAGATATTTATCTGGAAACTCAAGGACAAATATGTCTCCTCTTTAAATGACTGATCCTTATATGTGAACCTCAGAGATTTTACCTGACTTGGAATTTTTTAGGACTGCATTGCCCTGATGAGGTGGGGCTAAAAATAACTCCTAGTTACTGTAAGTGGCTGACGGTGTATTTGTTTTTAAATAAATGACTTTGTTGAGACAGACTTCAGACACACATAATTCACCATCAGTATGGGCTTCACATAACTTTTGTGTCAGGGTCCCTAGGAGCATATTTGGAGAAGGCAGTTGTTCAGATGACTGACTGGGGCCATTCTCTTGGAGGAGGATGAGTGAGGAAGGCACGAACAGTGCCAGTCCACCACCCCCCACTCTTAGTCCCAGGGATACTCTGGAGGACAAACTCCACAGAGTTGGCCCTACCTTAAGACAAGTGGTCTTTTGTGCCCATCAGCCAAGGGGAAGGAGTGATTCACAGCCTCTAGAGCTTCAACAAGGCCAGTTCTTGGGGAAATGGACAGCTGTGAGTTTATCCAACAGCACTCAAGGCAGTCGGGGGTGAGTGCTCAGGTGGTATGCCAGCAGCATCCACAGCCACCACCCATGGGTGCCAAGATACGCCTGCTCCTGTGCAGAGACCACCGCGCACCCTTGCCCTCCTCAGGTCTAGGTAGTTTGCCTGGGGTCCTGGCCTAGTCCTCTTGCCTGGGCGGTGTGAGCCTTTGCTTCCTATGCCTCTGAGACTGTGGTGGTTGCACTTGCATAGGTACAACTGAACACATGAGAGCTGAATGGATCAGCAGAGTACCAGGTATATGCCTCCCTGCCCCCGCTGTGTATAGCCATTCCTCCTCATGATGCTAGGGCTGATTACCTCTTTCCAGAATGCCATTAGTAACTCCTTTCTTTGCCAGTTTATTGGTGCACAGAGTGTCCAGAAAGTAGCCATAGCTTTGTTTTTAGTGAAACTCAGTGTGTCTCCTAGTGGAAATGCACCCCTCCCACTTCCAGAAACTAAGACTCCCAACTCAAAGAACCTAAAGTGCATACCCGAAGCAAGTTCATCACTGGGAGTGATAGTGAGCAAGGCACTCCTGCATCCACCCCCTCGGTTACAAAACACACTGGGGACACAGGTCCATGCAATGAGTTGTGGACCACATTTGTACAAGAGGTCATCTCCAATATGGCACCTCAACTGTGTCTTTATGAGGGCCTTCCACTTCTGATGAGACCAGTAGCTTCTGGACAGTCTGGTATCTACTGGCTCCTATAGTCCTGTGCCCAGCACTGTACCTCCTAGGCCCTGGGTCCTTGTTGAGCAGCAAACGTGGGACCCGACAGACGAGTGGGCCCGACCTACACCCAGAACACATGCCACCAGTAGGCATGAAACCACACTTCAAGGTAGAAGGACAAATATGATCAGCTGGTATTAAATGGCTGGGTGGTCGGGAACCAGCAGTTAGTGTAATGGCTATGTCGCTGGACTCCCACGTAGTCGACCGTGGTTCGCGTCCCGGACCCGGTGGCTTAAAACTCACGCTGTGTGCGTGTGCGTGCGTGCCCAAGATCCCGGGAGGAGAATGGAGGAGAAGGGATTGCGGCGTGACCATCCCCCCTGGGGGGTGATTTCTCGCTTTCTGTCTCTATGTCTCTGTCTGTCTGGCGAGCGCACGCGCCCTATAGTGGAAAAAAAAAACCTCTCAAAAATAAATAAATAAATAAATGGCTGGGTGGTTTCTTCAAAGACGAAGTATGTTGGAGCTTAGTGTTGGCCTGTTGCTTGCAGGTCAGACACGTGGCAGCACTGGTCAGTCAGCCTTGGTGGGAGGGAGCACATGCTAGGGAGCCCTTCACAACCTTCACCTCTGCACTGTGGCTATTTTGTTCATGGGCCACCTGAGAATGCACTGGGATGGCTAGAACAGAGCTGGCTGCCATCTGCAGATCTGCTTGTCCTATCCACCCAGACTAATAAGCCCCTAAAGATGGTGCCGATGGGACAGGCTTTAGAATATTTGTAGGGCTTATTTCCACCTGTCGAGTGCATGTATCTTATTGAGGCAGCCACAGTATTTAACACCTCTTCTCACCAGGCTTGATTAACATGAGGTTGCCAACAGGGTGGACTGTATAATATTTTGTGGAATGTCAAGATGGTCCACTTCACATTATTTTATGACAGAGTGTGGGAGAATTAACATAGCTTTGGGGAAATGCCATTATACAGCTTTTGTTCCCATGTGAATGCAAACTACTTCTGGTCCTTCTTCCTGATTGGTATGAAAAGGAATGCATTTTTCTGATCAGCAATTGTATACCATGTGCTATAGTGTGGAATGCCACCCCACCCCCAGAAGTCATGTGTTGACATTTGAGTTATATTAGAAAGGTGTTAAGTGAAAATATAGTTCTTTCATGGTGTACAGGGTAGACCCTTTGAGTGTGATGAGGCCATTGGGGTGGATTTGTAAGCAGAGAGAATGGGACCAGGACTAGCAGAGATGCCCAGACACCTGTTCTGCTCAATACGCTGCCCTCTGCTATGCTGTGGCCTCACTGGTTTTTTGTAAATCATTCGATCTCAGCTGTTGTGTTAGCAATACAATAAAGGACTAAGACACTGTTTCCAATGTTGTATTGATCTGCTCCAGTAAAGACACCCTATCCCCCACAGAAGGTGCAGTTAAGGCTACCAATGTCATCCTCTACAATTTAACTAGTTTTTCTCAAAGGCCAAATTATCTGGGTAAATTGGATATAATGGGGACTACCACACTTTCAAATCTTTACAAATGACTTATTGAGGTGAAAGGTACATGGCATTAACCAGCACCACACATTTTAGTCTCCGTGCTGCACACTAACAAGTCTGTCTAGTTTCACAGATCATTCCAAAAGTGACACCCCTTACTAATTAAGCAGTCTCACCAGTCCCTCCCTCCCTCCCTCAGCCTAGCAGCTACCAGTCTACATTATGTCTCTATGGATTTATCTGTTCCAAGTAAATCATCTAAGTGGAATTGACAATATGCATGGGACCTGTTCTGTCTGCTTTCTTTCACTTGACATGTTTCCAAGATTCACCAACTTCACATTTACTTCATTCCTTTATGTGGCCAAATGAAATTTCATCATATGGATAATCAACTGTTCATCCATTCATGGACATTTTATCTATTCCCAACTTTCACCATTATGAATACTGTTGCTATGAACACGTATGTGCATGTATGAGTGCTAGTGTTCAGTTCCTTTGAGTGTATTAATCTGCTCACACTGCTATAAAAAAAAATGATGGCCAGCAGATGGTGTGGTGGTTAAGGCACTTGACTCCCACATGGCTGACTGCAGTTTGAGTCCTGGACCTAGGAACTTACTTTCTCACTTTCTCTTCTCTCTCTGTCTCCCTCTGATCAAATTAAAAAGTAATAATAAATAATTCTTTTAAAAAATAATATTCAGTGACTCACAACAAAAAATTATATTTCACAGTTTGGAGGCTGAGAAGTCCAAGATTGAGGTGCCAGCAAGATGTTATTCCGAGACTTCTTTTGCCTCAAGGCAGTTGCATGTGCTTACAGGATCTCTTTGTCTTCTCTCTCTCTCTCTCTCTTGTCCTTCTCCCTCTTATAAATCACATCCTATTGGATTAGGGCCCAGATTTACAACTTGTTTAATTTCCTCCTAAATATCCTAATTCCAAATGCAGTTACATCAGCAGTTAGGGATTAAACATACAAATTTGAGCGTCTGTGTTGGGGGGGACACAATTCAGTTCATAGCAAGATACATAAAAGTGGAAATATGGAGGCCAGCAGGTGATGTGTGGTTCAAGGTGCTAGACTCCTACATGGCCGACTGTCGTTCCAGTCCTGGACCTAGCGGCTTGCTCTCTCATTTCTCTATCTCTCTCTCTCTTCCCCTCCCTCCCCCCAAGTTAAAAAACAAAGTTAAATAAAATAATTACACAAAAAAAGTAGAATTATGGGGTCATATGGTAATTCTATGTTTAATCATTTGAGAAACAACCAAGCTGTGTTCCACGGTGGAACCACTGTCTTACAATCTCACTGGCAGCTCTGCGGCTTCTCTGTTTAACAGAACACACTGTGTTTCACCCTGAGAATTAAAATTCTCTTCTCAAACCAGTTACTTGTCTTTTTACTGTCTGTCTGTCTGGCAAGCGCACGTGCCTTGTAGCAAAACCTCTCAAAATATAAAAATTAAAATTAATAGTAACCCATTTCTTTGTCCCATAAATGCCTTGCCAATATACTTTTCTCCTTAATGTCCTTCCTCAGACTCAACTCCTTCACCCACCCTCTTCCCACACTGGATTTTATATCTGGATTTTATAACCATTTACTATGTTTCTATATCCTCTAGTCATTCAGTTTCAGCATGTGAGCTCACCAGAAAGACAGAGACAGAGTATGGATTTTTTAAAATCACTTTAGTACTGTAGCATGGTGGTTTTAACTGAACAGTCGAAGCATACGGTGGTAACTGCATTATGTTTAAACTAATTCACAGCTGTAGGAAAATCTTTGAGTGTTAAAATATAACCAAAATGAGGGACCAGCAGTTAGCGTAATGGCTATGTCGCTGGACCCCCATGTAGTCAACTGTGGTTCAAGTCCCGGACCTGGGCGCGTGTGCATGCATGCCCAAGATCCCGAGAAGAGAATGGAGGAGAAGGGATT